GGCAAACAGACTCAGTAATAGGGGACACATATAGTTTTAGTGAGGATGGAGACACCTCCCCTGAATTTAGGTATATATCAGATGCCACAGGGGTTCAGCCAAGTCCATACATGTAAGTACATTGTTATCTGTACATGTATGTGTAATTTCATACTACAATATAATCTCATGTTAGTATCAGATTTGTATATGATTAGAATTTTTTGTTTGTTTCTGCAGGCAGTATGGTTTACCTTTGGATATCGTTGACTTGAGCACTGGCCAAGACCCTCAGAAGTTGATAGATTTTCTTCAGATGGTAAGATATAATTTTCCTTTCTCACCTTTCTTGAAAATGAATTACAAGACTGTTAAACGTTTTTTCCTTTTCATACAAAGAAAATATGAGTAATTGTTTTTTACAGTATATTATTGCACATATGTCATTGAATAGCAGAATGTGTTTCTACTTTCAGAAAATTCAGAGCGAAGCAGATGAAAGTTCTGATGAGGAAGTGCCGAGTTAGTATACATGTTGAATTTACACGTTTTTTTTTGTTTTGTTTTTTCCATCAAGTATGTATGTGTGTGAAAGTAAACAGCATGTTACATTTCTCCTTCTGTATCTGTCTATGTAATGTCTTTTCCATTCACTAGCTTCTTGTGTAAATTCTCTTTTCCTGTTTATGTTAAGTGTTATTCTTATTGCAGTGTGCTTAAAGACTTTTATTATATGTGTACTCTCATAAATTTTCATCTGTTGTCACATGCATAACTGGGAATCTGGCATTCCATTTCATTTGAATGTTATAACAAGTTTTGCACTTGATGTATTAGAAGAATAAATATCAGGAAATTATTTTGTTTATTATCCATATAATTCAAGATGATTAAGCAGGATTTCGTAAGACTAAGAATATTTTGAAACTTTGAAATTGCAAAGTTGTAACATCTCCCTGTCTTCTTTATCTCTCCATAACTATTCATTTGTCCAACTTTTTGTATCATCTGTTTTGCAACTAAAAAAAAAGTTAAGAGATCTATATAATAAAGAAAGAAAACCTAGATTTTCCTTTTATTCAAACTTTGCTTTATCAACTTCATAAAATAAGACTTTCTTCTTTTAAAGCAGACTCTCCCAACCTTGGCCTACTAAATGATGCTATACAGAGAGTGAAAAATAGCAGCTTGGGATAAGTAAACAATAATTGATAAGTTGCAGATTACTGTACTGCGCTTCTTTAGCCATAAATTATTTTTCTGATAGCTCACAAAATAATACATTTGACTTTTTTGCATTGGCCCTGATACAAGCCTGCAATGATAAATACCAGTCAGATGATTACGACAAATGTTTATGATAAACTTCAAGTAGTATCTCAACAACCTTGGAGCCAGAATTTTTCATTGCTTTATAAAATATATATTGAAGGGAAATGGCTGTAAAATGTTGTTGAAGTTGAAATTAGAATACTGAGTCTCAGGACTGCCAAGCTGAAGATGCTCTTTTGTAAAAAAAAAAAAAAATGAGAAGTTACCAGAAAACCACCTTCACTCAGTAACTAAGGCTGAGTAAAAATGTACAAAGTAAGCCATTAGATCTCTTACGGCCAATCATGGTTTTCTGTAACCTGTACTCTGCACAATACTTTTGTTCTTTCTTTACCATTGCTATTTTTATAAAAGAAAAGTTTCTTACAATTTATATTTCCTGAATACATGTCCCCCTGTAAGGCCTTCATTGTACCTTCTAGTCTGCTTACGAGGGGTTGAAAATTAGGCTCTTAGAAAAACACTTAGACTTTGTAATTATGTACAAAACTTTACTTATCATACAGAACAAAACGACAATGGGGGGGAAACTTGTATATTAGTATACAAATCCATGTTATTTGGTATCACAGTTCAATATGTACACTGTTATAATGATGCACTCAACAGTGTACCTTGTTGGTGGAGGTTGGGGTTACAACTGGAAATAGAACATTTTAGGCTCATCACCTAATATGTTAATAATGTGGAAAAAAAGAAAAAGAAAAAAAAAAATACAAATGAAGTATAACTAAACTTTTCCTTTGGGTGAGTAAATACCAAAGAAAAGAATGGTAAGCTTTTTGTAACACGCAAATATGAAACAAAAATACTTTGCACAAAGTTGATTTTAAGCACAGATATTTCCCTGCAAAATTACAAAAAATATGGATTAATCTAAAAAAAGAAGAAAAAAATATATATCCATAAACCACTTGTATGAAAATATGCAGCTTTTCAGATTGTTTTGACAGATAATTCCAGTTGAAAAACAATGCATTTATGGGACAACAATATTCACAACCAAATATCCAGTACAATGCATCCCATGTAACCTGTTTTCACTAAGCAAAATAATCAAATGTGGAAAAAAAAATCATCACCATCATCATCATAAAAATACAGCCATGTTTTGAAACTGAATGCTGTAAGAGAAAATACTATACATAAAATAAGAGTATGGAGTTACCATAAACTACATACGACCCCC